TTGAGTTCTTCGCTCTGGGATGCAAACGTTCTCTCAGAATAAAGAACGCCACAAATACTGATAAGGGAACTTATCGATGTGAAACCTTAGATGGTAAGAGCAGAACAGAAGGCAGAGTTGCAATCAAAGGTTTGAAATACTTGTTGACTTGAATTGATCATCCTCTGTTACAGAAGAAGAAGCTCGCATTCTTGTTGGACCTCAAGACGTCAATGTTACATCTCTTGAAGGAAGCACAGTTTTCACTTGTCAGACATCCAAGTATATCCCAAGAGTTCGTTGGTATAAAAACGGACAAGAAATCTGGCCACAAGTTGGTAAAGCAATTATGGAAGTGAATGAATGTGTTGCGACTTTGGAAATCAAGAACATCGACAAGCACGATGAAGGAGAATATCATTGCTCGTTAGGAGATCACGAAGTCTCCGCTCCTGCTCATCTCAAGCTCCAAGTTGCTCCTATAGTGTCTATTGCGGAGAACCTGGATAAGGAAGTTGTTATGCATGCTGGAAAAGACTTAGACTTCCATGTGGAGTTTGTTGGTCATCCAGCCCCACTGGTGCATGTCACGCATAATGCCGTGCCAATCAAGAGCCGAGCGGCTGTTGAGATTTACGATGACAGCATCAGCGTTCGCATGAGAACTTTGACAAGATCCGATTCAGGAGTTATTAGAATTAGCGCTGAGAACGAATGTGGTTCCATAGTCAAAGAAATTAATTTGTCTATCATTGACGTCCCTTCAGCTCCTCAGAAGTTAGGTTTTGAAGGTACAACAACCAACACAACAACTCTCTTCTGGGAAGCTCCAGAAGAAACAAATGGCTCTCCTATTACGGGATATGTCATTGAAAGGAAGGGAGTTGACAACAATCGTTGGAGACCAGTCGGAAAGACCAGACCACATCACTTACTTTTCGAAGCAACTGATTTGTTCTCAGATCAAGTCTATGGATTCAGAATATTGGCTGTCAATGACGTAGGAGAGTCTGAGCCTAGCTTGGCTGTTGATGTACTTACTGACCAGGATGATATCTCTCTATCAGAAAGATCCGACACATTTACACCTATCATCGCTAAATTAGAAAGACCACAGAAGCCAACAGTCAAAGTCGACGGAACCAAAGTTCATTTGTCTTGGCTAAGAACCCCTGAAACGAGCTTGTTTACCGTAGAGCGGCGTGATAATGATGCCGCTGAGTGGCTTGAACTAGCTAATGTAGACCGAGAATTCTTCAATGATTGTTCAATCGAGAAATCAGGAAAATATATCTATCGCGTAACAGCTTCAGGCATTCATGCCATTTCCAATCCTAGTGATGAAACCGATCCAGTTATTATAAACGTAACCGGAGGAGAAAGCAGTAGAATGTACTCCCAGCCTGCTGTACCGTCAGTAATTGTCGAAGAAGAAAAAGCTGAGAAACCAAAGAAGAAAGTTGTAAAAACCAAAACTGATAACAATCAAGAGAGCAATGCGGATTCACAAGGTTCGTTAAGACATTCAAGTTTCTTACTATTATATGTTACGTTTCCAGAAACAGGCAAAACTGAAGAAGCTAAGCCTAAGACGAAGAAGATAGTGAAGAAGAAGGTAGACGGAGCTAAATCCACTAAGGAATCATCCAGCAGTTTGATTGTTAAATCCAAAAATCCTAAAGTTAAAAGCAAGATCGGAGAAAGCGCCAGACTTGACGCTGAAGTGAAAGGAGAAGATTTGGAGTTCCGTTGGACAAAAGATGAACGATCTCTTGGATCGAATTTCGTAATCACAAAAAGCAACGAAGGAAGCTCGCTCACCGTCAAGAACGTAGAACCCACATCCGCTGGAGTTTACAAATGTTCAGTTAAAGACAAAAATGGAGAAGAGGCTTTCGTTGAAATAGAACTTCAGTTAGAAGGTAAATCCATTACACTATTCAAAAAATTGTTTATCATTTGAATTTAGGTACGCCAGTTGTTTGTGCAGAGCAGAATGTTGTGAAAGTAAAGGCGGGTGATGCCGCCAAATTATTGGTAAATGTAGCAGGATCTCCTGAGCCTCTTTGCGATTGGTCCAAAGAAGGACAATCTGTTAAGGTTTGGTCTTTTTATTCTTTTTTTTCAAACATTGTTGGGAAATTATAACTTTCCGAAAATTTAAGTCGTTAGATCGCGATCGGGTTAATTAGCATACGTTGAACGTCGCATACAGTGATGAGTTATGCTAATTAGCCCGTGTAGTCTTATCAGTCCACGTGGCGTCATTTAGTCCTACAATTGAAAAAAACCACGTTTCATTTCACTTAACTGTCTGCTTGTGTTGCGGTTGAGTTCGATATAACCGTTCAAATTTTTTATTTATTTTTTTATTTTTTTTATTCTTCATTTCTAGTTTGATGGTAACATCACAGCATCTTCATCAAATGGTGTAGCTGCTCTGTCCATCAAGAAAACAGAGCCTCATCATGCTGGTATTTATACTTTGAAAGCCAAGAATCCAATCGGAGAACAAGCAACTACTGTGGAATTAGTCATTCAAGGTAACCAGAGATAATTAAATGCACACACATTCTCTTATAGGTCCACCTGGTGTTCCAACCGGCCCATTGAATGTAGCTCAAACTTCGTCTACTGCTTGTGAATTAGCTTGGAAACCACCAGCTACAGGAAAAGATGTTCTCAGTTACTCTATCGATAAGAAGGATATGAAGAAGAACACTTGGACTCCAGTTCAAAAAACAACTGCTACTTCATACACAATTGGTAACCAGATTAAGTTCATTATTGTTTAACTCATTTGTTGTAGACAACTTGGCTGCAGACACTTCGTACATGTTCCGCGTAACTGCGGAAAATGCCTTCGGCACTGGTAAACCACTCGCTACGGATCAAGCGTTTGAAATTAAATCAACACTAGGTTTTTGTATTATTTTTGTACATGCTCATTAATTATTTCAGAAAAAGAAGATGATCAAAATGCGTCATTAGTTCCGACCGGAGCCCCTACTTGTAAATCAAGCACGAAAGATTCCATCACAGTACAATGGGCATCTGACAATTCAGGCGATGTCACATACATTGTCGAAATGAAAGAAGTAATATCAGTAATAGTTGATTCATTTCAAAATTTGAATTTAGGCGAAATCGAAGAGACCCTGGAAGGCTGTTACTAAAGACCCTGTTAATGCCACTTCTTTCAATGTGCCTGACTTGAAACATGGCATTCAATACGTTTTCCGTGTCATAGCCAAAAACTCTCGAGAACAAAGTGAAACATCTCCAAGTTCTGAGCCGATTCTTTGCGAAGAAAAAGAAGGTAAGGATGAGGTCATCAACCCTTCATATACAATTAATCGCTTTGCAGGAAATTTGAAGCCTTCTATAAACAATGCACCATTCGATACTACAAGCATCAAAGGTAGAAAAGTCAAATTATCTGCTGATATCCTTGGAGAACCCACTCCTGAAGTCCGATGGCTGAAAAACAAAAAGGTTAACATTTTTTCTACATTTGGCTTGAAATCCGCTTATGTCCATCAAGACTCTGCTGATATTTTCTTTTGTTGTAGAAGGAAAACTGAAAATATTTTGGTTTTTTTGATACTTGTGATAATCTGATATTTTCGCTGTAAACTGCCATAATCTATCATTTAATCCTATGGCTATATTACACTTAATATACTTTCTCTAAAGTAGATATTTGCCTTTTTTCATGGCATAACAAGTTTTAAACAATGCTTTATTACTATTTTCTTCAGGAAATTTTCTCTGGAAAACGTCAATGGATCGAAACTTCAGCTGGTTCCACCTCCTTAACTATTGGAGAAATGAGAGAAGACGATGAAGGAGAATATCAGGCAAATCTAAGATATAACAACAAAACTGAACTGATACTTGTATAGATATGTCTGAAGAACAAAGCCGGTAGCTCCGAGCATAAGTTCAAATTAGCTATGGATGCTTTACCTGAAATCAACCGCGTGGATCGTTATGCCTCAACTCTTGTGTACGATAAGGGAGAATCTGTCAAACTGCGTCTTTCGTTTACTGGTACGCTACTCTTCAGTTTTGAAAAATGGTTTTATACGAAGAAAGAGAGAGAGAGAGCGAGAAGTCTTAGAATTTCATTGAACAAATTATCACACAAACATCAATTGTAACCCAGGACCATAGCAAGTTATAAAATGCGAGAAAACAATAGAAAATCTTTTATAACATCACAAACAATAAGTAAGGACCGGTCAAATAACTAACTATAACGTTTATTAAAAATTTAATTATTTTTAATAGATCTGGTATATGACTATTCCTATTCGAAGTGATTGTTATCATAGGTTAGAGCTAAGCTTAGGGATACTGCTTAAAGTATATAATCTAGTTATAAGTTTCTAAACTCCAAAAAGTTCTTGAACAAAGTTGGTTTGAGTTTCAGTAAATCATATGTTATAAGCTTTAAAACAACTATATATAAATAGATGTATATATAATTGATTGATATGTGACTTTGCTCGAGGTGAATCTGATTTTCTCTGATGATAAGTAGAGTCAGTTGAGGACAGCTATAGAAAGAAAAAGAGAAAAAAGTAAAACGATCATAGAGCAATTGTATGAATTGAGAGAAGGGGCAAGTCGAATTAAGACTACACTTTGAGTATTTCCAAAGTAAATGAATGAATGTCAAAATATGATTCTGATGGTATTGTCTATGAAGCTTAGCAAAGAGTACTTTTACGTGCCATCATAGGACATCACATTCGAATGGAAATAGTAAATCATAAGCCAATAATGAGAAAAGAGATTTGAGTTCCTCGTGCTTCAAAAATATCTGCCTAACTGAACAACTAACCAGGAAAGCGCAGATAAAAATCTTAATAAAGGAGAAGGCCTTACACGTAACTTTCATTGAAGAAAATATTATTTTCTCTGTTATTTCCTGTGTAATGGTTAAAAGGATGGAACACTTTTACAAAATGATGATGTATTGAAGATTTAAAATATATTCTCTGTGGTTTCCTTTATCATTCATCATCTCCACGAAGCATGGACACTAAAGCTTGCTCTTGACGCACTTGATCTTCCTTTATCTGTTCCATTTGTTGCTCATCTTGTGCAACCTTGATGAAGTTGTCAACAATAATAGTGATAGGGAGGGCTAATACGAGCACTCCACACATTATTGCTGCCGATGCTATCACTTTTCCAACTTAAAACATCAATGTTAGGTCAAGTTATTGAAAATGGACTTACGTGTTGTTGCTGGTACAGCATCTCCATATCCAACAGTTGTCATCGTTACTATGCACCACCAGTATGCAGCTGGTATGCTTGTGAATGGTGTTCCTTCTTCATCTTTTTCCAAGAAGTATATCATAGTTGAGAAAAAGACAACACCCGTGAGCAAAACTATTGCCATCATTTGAAGTTGTTTCTGTGACCGCCTCAGAGTCATACCGAAAGTTTGCAGCCCAGACGAGAAACGTCCAAGTTTTATAATTCGAATGACTCGAAGGACTCGCAGAATACGTACAACTAAGAAGGCCCAACGCAAGTCGCGCAGCTTCTTGTCGTCTACACCGCATAGTGTGAGGAACAGCTCCAAATAAAACGGAACGATCGCCATTAAGTCAACCAAGTTCAATGGTTTGATGGCAAATCTCCATTTCCTTGGTGCGGCGAACATTCGTAAGCAGTATTCCACCGTAAAAAATGCTATACATATCCGTTCGGTAAAAACGAAAATTGGATGTTCTACTCTCATCTCCTCCACTTTCTCTACTATAGTTACAGTTCCATTAGGCAAAACTATCGTCTCATTATGGGGTGGCAAATAATGCGTCACCTGAAATGCTTTCATATTAGCTGTTTTGAGGAATTAACGATACTTGAAAGTCTGGTATTGTTCCGAAGCTAAGGCCCATTACTGATATGGCTACAAATAGTGTAGACGATAGCTCGAAAGCTTTTGCTTGATTACTAGAGCCTGGTCTTTCTAAGAAAGTCCACATTCGCCTTCTCAGTTTTCCGCACATAAGATTATCAAATGTTGTGTCGTCCACCTGAAATGTCATGAGCTATTCATCTTAATTCGATGATCAGTTTACTCTTTCTTCTTCTTTCTCTTCTGATTTTGGCTGAGGTATAACATCGGCACAACAGCTTCCTACATGTTGATGACTAATCTTCCAAAACTCTAGCTCCGTCAGAAATGCAGCAGGACATAACTGAAATTAGTATTGTTCATACTTTTTAAGTGTTTTCCGTCTAATAGTTATTTATCCTTTAAAGGTACAGCTTACTCGTTGATCAGTGCATTATATGCCACGTATCGGATTTCGAGCATGTAAAGCATATTCAACGTAAAATACTTTTGCATGATTGCATTTTACTTCACTCGAATTACCTCCGAAGGTTTGTGTATGACACCTGTGGAATAATATTGAAATATGGCCTCGAATGCTATAGGTGATCGTTGAAAAAAATATGTATTTGTCTTGGGAAAGTAAGCATCAGCAACCTGGAAAGAATAATATATTAAAGATGGAAATCTTCGAAGAGCTTCTGACCTTCAATCGGGCATCATGAGTCAAATGCAAGAATTTGCTTAAGAATGAAGTTTGATCTGATCGCAGGATGGCATCATACAATAACATGTATGTTGTCCCACCAATGTTCAAGTTCAAAAAAAGTGGGGTTCCGTCTTCCTCAATCGTTGCTATTGGAGATACCTGGAATGCGTTGACAGTGAAGAGACTATGTATTCCTAACGTACCTGTATAGCACCTGAGCTACGCCACATTTCATCAAGTAGTCGTCCGTTCCGACGATCAGCACACGTCATGGCATCCGTTCTCCGAAGCGGCACCAGCCGCTTTTTGTGCTGCTGGGCTGCCCTATAATAGGACAAGCATATGTCACCGATGAAGAATTTTGTTTCTATCAAATTAGGGTTTTTGTGTATCTTTGTTCTACACTCCAAAATTGTTACGAACGAATGTTCTAAATGAGAAGGAAAGCCTTTTTTGATGTATGAGATCCGGTCACGCGTATTATCAAAATGGGATAAAGTGATTAGAAAGCGTATTTGTCCAAAGTGTCTCCCCACGCGTAATTTGAACATTCTTGTCAATCTGATTGTTCGAGATCTTTCTTCCATCTTACATTTCTTCTCATCTTATATTACTTTTTTCTACTGTGCTCTTCATCGTATTCATCTCTCTCCTATCCTCTCACTCATTTGTTTCAAGCTAAACTTTCAATGGCAAGTTAGTGGACTGAGCTTTGGCTTCCCTTCTTTTTTTTAGAAACACTCCTCTATATTCTAAGATAACTGATTAAACATGCACATGCACGTGTGCGGTTAATTGATTTTCTATATTCTATTAGTATATTAGAAGCTTTAGAAGCAAAGATGCAACAGCTGTTTCAACTTAGGAGAGTTGAAAAAGCGTTAGTTGTTAGTTATTTCAAGTCTGTCGACATAATTAATCGAATATGTTAATCAATCGCTAAATAACAAAAAGCTGTGAAGTTTCAAAATGAATACGGATATCCGGAAAATGAACAGACATTCCCACTAGGTGGACCGGAGGATTGTCATATTGTCACATTTGCTTCATTTTCCAAACACATGATGTTATTGATCGATTCGTTACCTATATCTAACTACTTCTCATGCCTTACATATCACTTATGCTCTGTGAAGAGCATCATATAGATATAGATTACATCAAATGAAGCGGAAGTTAAGGAAATCTTGAATTATAGAAGGAAAGCGAAAGAGTATCTGTTAATTAGTAGCTAACATGCACAAGTACGTAGAGTTAAAGCATGTATCCAAAAGCATTTCATCAACGGAAATTGATAAATACTCTTGATTCTATGGGAGAAACACGCAAACTAACGAATAGTTAGTATTACTGAATGATGGAAGTTCTTTATCATTTAATAGAAGAGACAGAATATATAATTGAGGATTATATATTATGCTGTTTTTGTTGTTTTTCTCTCTCAAAGACACTTTTTGTGGCTTTGAGTTGCACCATTGACGTTGTTGATAGATGGATGAACTCACCCGCTGATCATGTTGCCGGTGACCCTGTAATTTTTAAATTTGATTGCTAAATTGGAGCCAGGAATGGCAAAGGGAATGGAATTTTGGTACTGTAGAACCGCTTGAGAAATGGCTATGGCCATACTGACTTCAAGAGATAGAGAGAGAGGGGGGGGATAATGAGGAAGAAGAAAGGAATCAAGAAGTTTTTTTCTTTTATAGTCCTATTCATGCATTTTGTACATAATGTGAGCTCTATAGAAAGTGAAAAGGTAGAAAAACGGAGTAAATGAGAAAGCAGGAGGTCTCTCAAACTAACAACTTGTTCGTAATTTTTGCTATGCTTTGCCTCAGGGCAATAATAGATTTTTCTTTCTCACTCAGCTCATTGGCGAAAAAATAACTGATTGAAATGTTGGTAATTTAAAGATTGATTAGGAGTCGAGTGAGAGATATATGAAACAACGTTTGTCCAGTCAGATATAAGGAGAGTATGAAGTGACAGCTCTTTTGGCTCACCGTGCTCTGTCATTGACAGCTTCACATAATTGCTAGTAATTATGATGGGATGGTCGAGATATCTTTTTGGAGAAGTTAGTACATGTGAAACCAATTTATTTTTTGCGAAAGAAAGAAATGCATAGCCAAATATGACAGGTTGAGATCAATCTTGAGACATATTCATAGAAATGTGAATGATCTTTCTCAAACGAGTTTCATAGATTGAAATGGAGGAACAGAATGTAATTGATGCAATCATTCAATTCTTCAGAAGATTATGGGTTTGAAATGAGGGAAAGCTTTGTCTCATACACATAATTTCAAATTTGGATGATGGAAGTTCCATGATTTTTTTAATATAAAATATTAAAATCTTACTGTCCATTGCAGGCTAGAGCTGAGTAACTGATACTAGCACAAGCCATGATGAGAATAGATAGAATATATATACAATAATGTCTATTAATCAATTAATGAGCTTTCACAAAGTGATTACTCGATAGCTCTTAAGAGGATATGCAACGAAGTGAAAGCTTCTTCTACTTTCTTCCAAATATTGGAAAAGACGACTTTTGGTATCAGGTTTATAGTAGAAGGGTGCCGATTACTGACGAAGAGTCGCAAATATGAGAGGAAGTGGAAAATGTTATGGGAATTTTCCGTATGTTCTTCGATCGCTATCACTATGAAGATGATTTTATCCTTTTCAGCTTAGAATAAGAATAATCTGATAGTTTGAATTAGAAGTTTGATGGCTAATGAGAATTTATTAGTCTTTCTCCTGTCAAGTTGAGCCTATAAACTCTGAAACAGCTCTTGAGGTCTGTCAAAGTTTGGCTGAAATTGCAGTTCAGTCAGTGGTAGTTAGAAAAACTGACAGGTGTGTCCTATGTGGGACGCTCCTGCTAAGAGCAGGGTGTTAAGCTTTTCCAAGATGCTTTTGATGGACGAAGATGAATTTAAAGAGTAATTGATGCGATTATTAAGTAGGCAGCTTGAACGAACTCGTGAAGATGAGAATTGTCTTGAAAATCTCGTGCCAGATGATAAGCGAGAAGGTTCGTTGACGCCACCACCGAATGTGTGTATGTGAGAGAATGTGTGGGAACACGTCTCTCTTATTTTCTTACATTTCATCCGTATCTCTCCATCTATGCTTACACCTTTGAGCTGAAGAGGCAGATATAAGGAAAGGGCGAGAGGGAAAGAGAAAAAACACGCAGAAATAGTAGCCAAAATTGAAGGAGGCAGAGATATTGCATATTGGCAATATGCATATCGTTCTTTTCTTCTGCATACCTCTCTTGAGCTCATAATCTATCATATAATTCCTTTCTGTGATACTCTTGGTCTATGCAACAGCTTTTCCTTTCCTACTTTCCTTCTTGCTTTTTTCTTATTTTCTTTTCCTCTTTCATAATCTCGCCAAATCAAGCATACTTACATCCAGTGTGCTAATTCGCAGCAAAATCGATCTGACATGAGCTCAGGTGAATATAGCTTTCCTAAGGACAACCAACGATTACTTATCCCCTATACGGAGATTGTGCTAACATTCGGAATAATAAAGTTGCGGCCAAAGCCAAAGCTATTGTTTTCTGTGAAGGTTGAAACGTCCAAATGAGTTCTGTTGGTTGTTTTGCCAAAAAAGGAAGTTTTGATTTAGTCAAGACTATAATAACTCATTATCTAATGAGTTTTCATCGAAAGTTGTTGTTTGACATACAAAACAGATGATAGTTTATGTAAAACAAGTGTGGTAGCTCTTCTCATTCAAACTTCTTTTTAAGCTCTCAGATTCTAGTTTGCGATCTTATTGAGATTGTTGAAAAAGCAGAAGAGAGAGATAGAAGAGAGTATTCTGCAAGAAGAGGACAGTTGATATCGAGTGTTGGACAACGGCAGAAGAAGAGGAGTTTCCAGCAACCGTTTATTTTCAAAAACCTCACAATTGGACTTCTAGCCAAAGTACAGATGACAGTGTAGACAAAGTGGAAGTTCGCTGGGAAACTTTCTCTACGATTCTGTCATGTTGTAGTTTTTCGAGATTATTGAATCTATCAAGCGAACGAAAACAAATTAGTTAAAAAAAACGTGAATGTTGTTGGATTTATCTGAGGGTTGAAAGGAAATGGCATTTGTAAGCTCAAGATGTGGTTTTAATCGAGAGAGATGCGGCAATAAATTTGTGGATTCTTCGAGATTTTCAGCTGAATATTCTCGATTCGAATGCAGCGGGTGTTCTTAATTTCCTTGTAAGAATCATATTGCTTCGGAAAACCAGGTGTTGTCTGATGGATCAGTACATAGTAGTTGTGCACTGTTTTTGTGGAGAAACTTGTTTAACGAGTATACACCTCAGATCACTCACAGAACTTGATTCAGTTTGCCAACGTTTGGAAACTGTTAAAAGCTGAACTATGCGGGCAAGATGGATTAGAGAGAAATTGACAAACCGATTAAAAGTACCTAATGACGGTTGAATTTTTTGTTTCAACATCATCTTGCAACATGGCAAAGAGGTTTCGGAAGGGTAACTCAGTATCTATTCTGAGATGTTTGTTCTAATGCAGAACGTTTGGATGAGAAATGAAGAATTTAAGAAGTCGATGTTCAAGCGGAATATGCATAGGAGAGAAGAAGATAGTAAAATGAGGTTTTACCTGTGAAGCTATCAAAAATGTTCTTGTTGCTGGTCAACCACTGGGTATAAGTGGTGAGATCTGGCAGAAGTTGTGAGAATAAGAACACAATCAGGATGGTACAATAGTGATAAGAGACGATGCAGAATTTTTCTGAGTTGAGCTTCTGATTGCTTACAGTTGATATAGCGTTATCTATCGTGAGAGCATGAGACATGTATGATAATCTTGAAGGAGAAATGGGCGAAAAAGAGATAATTGAGATCAGAAGTTAAAGAAGATTCGAGGAGAGAAGAGACGACAACGGCAGACAACAAAATGATGACTTTCAAGTGGCTTCTGCGAGGTCCGTACGACCAACCCACTGACAGTCTTTTCAGTTTGAAATTTCTATCATTTCCATCTCTCTAGCTCTCTCTCGCTCTGTTCGCTTTCGTGAAATCATCTTACTGAAGTCGACGATAATCGACGGAAAATTAAGAAGAAACGACCAATAAAGCGGAGTTGTCATACACGTTGTTGGTCAAATGAGCCAACTAACATCTAAGATCAATTACTGTCGAGGAATTTGAAGTAAAGACAAGGATGAGAGAAGTTCTTGAATTTTGTTAGTTGAGCGCTTTTTGACAAGGAAATGATAACATCCAAGAAGTGTCCTTAATCGCTTCCGTTCATTCGAAGTAGGTGGTGGCGTATGGAGGAAATTTGATAATTTCTGATTTCCCAAGAAAATATCGAATCATCCCACATATTTTGCTTGAAGACCATTGTGTGAATGATGGAACCGAGCTTATGTCATATAGCTGCGTTCGTTCTCTTCACTTTAGTCAATCTTCCAGTTGGAAAAAAACAAATAAAAGCCATTTTATTAATTTTAATGAAATTTGTGCTTAAAATGTTCTTCTTAACATCTATTTTCTTGCGACTCTTGCAGATTTTGTTAGTTTTAAGCTAATTCCTAGATCAAACAGAACTACAAGAGAACCAAGAAAAGAGTGTGTGTATGTGTGTGGGTTGATGGATTCCCCATCATTTGATTCGAACATTTTCATAAAATTGATTTTGGAGCTACAATCGCAAAACATAAAACTTGAATAGTAAAACTTACATAGACGATATTCCACCACGGCTCATAATGACGTCTACTAAGCATTATTCGCTTTGCTTCATGCCTAAGATCTTACAGCTGTTGGTGGTGGTAGCACAAGAAACATATGCCCCTCACGCCTGATAACGAATCATCTCAAATGCATTGACAGTTATCTTATGCTTATTCATGGCATTGCCATCTAAATTTGCTTCCTTCAACTCCTTTTTTTCAAACCAAGAACTTCGATCATGACATTCATGGAAGAAGAAAGTACTTCTGTCTTAGTCTCTATCAATTTCACTACAAATTTCAAGTGGGAAACGTTATGTAAGTAAATTATAAAAATGACGAGAAAGGAAAGAAAAAAAAAGCAGATATGAGTTAGAAAACAATAAAAGACTAAGGAGGTTAAATGTAAAGCCATTAATGGGTGTATGTCCCAATCTCCTTATGGGCTTCTCCTTTGCCGAGTGCTTTTTGGATCACACAAAAAAACTTTTTTCATGTTCTTTGGCTGTCTTTAAGAGAATACGAATGCAATTGTGAAGAAGTTTGAGAACACATGGTTCTCGAAGAAAGAGGAACTTCTTTCTCAGAATGTATGGAATAGAAAAGATTTATTTCTTAATGACGAATATACCCGTCGGCCTCAGCTATTCTGACGTGTGAAAATACACAGATCGGTTGCATTCATTTGTTTCTAACCATTTTTATAGATAAATCAATGGAATTTGATATAAGTTCAAATATAGACCTGTCTCCCATCCCTCCCCTAGTTCACTAAGGACGAATTGAGTCCATAACTGAAATCTTAATGCGAAATTCTTAGAATCTTGTCTGATTTTAATAATTAAATTCGAGTTTATTTAATTATATGTAAAATATGCTTGAATGATCATTCATAAAAACT